AAGTTCTGAAGAAGTGAAACTACTACATGGTTGATACCAACAAAGATTATATTTCATATTTTAAGAGCTCAAAGCACATTTAAAAATAACCCCCCTTCCCCAAAAATTGAAAGCAATTAGACTGTGATTAAAAACTCTCAACAATTAAAAGGTTCCGCAGGACCAGTGCTGGGACCCACTGTCTTGTATGATAAAGTGTTTTGTGTATGTCAACGACCAGGGTATTAACAATGGGTCCAACCAAACTAGTACGGTGAAGCTCTGCGGTGTATTAAGAGTAAGGGCACGCACTTTTAACTTCGTTCGTGGATGGTTCAACATTAAACACATAAGACGATCTATCGAGATAACGTCTAGATAAAATACTTATGGGGGCGATTTCCCCTAGCACCTAGGTGGTACTATTGAAATGCAACACCCCTTGTTTCCTGCGGTGAAAAAAAACACAGAACTGAGCGTAATATTCTCTTCCAACGTATCACCTGCGGAGATTTTCCTTAGCCAATCACAATTGCTGTTATTGCAGTGCGGAAACGCGCGGTGTTACCAGGACGACAGAGTGCAAACTCTTTGAGGATGAGACAGGACTGGGCATAAATAAAAAGGAATATTTTTAATGATACCTCAAACAAAATCATTGAATCAGCGAAGTAGTTCATAATTATGGTAAGGGACTAATTCATATGTTCGCTTTGTGAATTATTGGCGCAGGGTTGGTCAATGTTGCGTTTTACCAGTGTTTGTAGCTATATTTCGTTTTGCTTTACAGAAGTTCTCGGAAGCCTGTCCGTAGTCTGCAGCTGGACAGCCCCAGAAATGAAAATTGTATAGGTTTCCTAAAATATTCAGATTCTAAAGACCTGCAACAATTTAATTGTGACGAGTTACATGAAGGAATGTAGAAAACAAATCTGGAGACTACTTAACGAGTGCCAGCGTCTCCTTAATTTAACTAGTGACTTGCTTATGTAGTCAAAACCTTTAAAGTGTTCCTAATGTTTAAAAACAAGTTAGATATACCTACGTTAACATTACTACTTACGACTCTTATTTACAGAAAAATTAAAAAAAGTGTCCTCCTTGTTTTCCTGTTGCGAAATTCTAATCTGTTACTCTTTGGTTTTAAAATTTTATGGCCTAATGATAGAAATTGTGTAAAATAAAGAAACTGTTTAGAATAAATTAATTATACCAATGAGCATTCTGATGGATTAACAGGAATCAATTGCTGTCAGAACCCCACATATTGAAAGTACAGTTTTACATTAATATCGGGAAAGCCATTTTCAGATAGTCTGTATGGGTGACCATTTGCTGCAGCCTGTCTCAGTGAACACACGGAAGACCTTTGGGTCCATGATGGTCTTTCTCACATACTCACGAAGGACTTCCCACTTGGGCTTGCTCGTGTTTCTAATTGTTTCGTGTGAAGCGAGAATTTGGCTGTATAACTGTAATACTATTCCAACATCGAGATGTATGCGTTTTTTAAATTATTTTTAGGCTTCAATGAGTCAGCGGCGCAACATGACTCACAGTCAGCAGCAGAGGATGATCGCGGAGGCCAGGAGACAGGAGGTGATCCGAGAAGACCAGATGAAGCACATTGCCCAGGGGAGACAGATGCAGGCCCATTTAATGAGTGAGGAGCGACTTGAGAAGAAGAAGTACCTGAGGAAGATTCAAGATGAAAACTATGAGAGGCAGATTGAGGAAGCACTTCTTAAGGTGCAATTTTTCCATCCATTCTCTAATCACTTTATCCAGTACAGGGTTCTTGGGGAGTTGGAGCCTATCCTGGGCATGCAATAGGCGCAGTCCTGGACAGGAAGACAGTCAGTCGCAGGTCACACACAGACAGACAGACATGCACACACGCACACCAGGGCCAGTTTTCCCAGAAGCCATTTAAACTACTGTTATGTCTTTGGACTGTGGAAGGTAACCGGAGCACCCGGTGGAAATCCACATGAATGCAGGGAGAACATACAAACTCCACACTGAACCCGGGGCCCCAGCTCTGCGAGGTAGCAATGCTAACCACTGTACCCCTGTGCCACATGAGTTGCAATTTCTTGTTTTAATTTGCATTAGAGCACATTCCTTATGTGAAAGTGACTGCAGATGCCCCGTTTTAATTTTTTCAGAAGAATGTTTTAAGGCTTTTCTGCGTTTTCTTCCACTTTAATGAAGGCTGAAGAGGAAAGAATCCTCAAGGAAAAGCAGATTGAGCAAGAAGAGAGAATGGCTAAAGAACTAGCACGGATAAACTACGAAAAGCTGAGGGATGAGAAAATCAGGCAGCAAGTCAGGGAAAACAGGTAGGTCTCACAACTGTAATATTGGCAAGATCTGAAGCAATTGTGGAGATTTCTTTAACAAAGAATTCAGAAGAAACTAGGGAATGTACATCCAGTAATGAAAATCACTTTCATTGAACAAGTGTCTGCCTCCTTAAATTGGACTTGAGCTTTCAGATCTTAGTCTCTGTTAATCATGTGCACCAGTGATTAAAGGAAATGTGCAGCACTTACACACACGAGGGCAGCGTGATGACCTGTGGAAGTGGCTGTGGGCAGCAGCAACAAGCTGTGATGCACATTGTCAATTGGTGCCCTTACCAAGACCAGTTGAAGGTCTAAGGGCCTTGTCTGCTGCTGTTGGTGTTGCTGATTCCCGCCTTGACAAGCATAGCATGTGTAAAGGGGCGTTCTTTCAAAATTATACAGGTCATTGTGGACTGACTGATACATGGTTAACATTGGACTTTGGTTCACAAGAATGCCGTTATGTTTCCTGTCTTAAATTGCTTGGGTACAATGATGTCATCTGGTTTTTAATTTTTTTTATTTTTGTAGTGCTGAACTTCGTGAACTGGAACTCAAACTGAAGTCCGCTTATCTGAACAGAGAACGAGCTGCTCAGATTGCTGAAAAGGAAGCGCTGCGACTTGAGGCCATGGTTTGTTCTCTGTTTATGATGATGATGATTTGCTCTGCACATTTAATGTGAAAGGACAGACTGTTACTAGAAAGTATTGAGAGAAAACCAATCCCATTTTTATTCTGTTTCTGAAATCAGAAATCCAGTAATAAAACCTTAAAAGCCTAAAAGCAGAAATAAAATATTTACATCAAGTTAAATTATTTGTATGCTAGCTTTCTTTTGATGGCATCAGTAAAGATGGGAAAAAACGTATGTAAAGCAAGCTGATGTTGATTTGCCTCTCAGAAAATAGAGGCTGCCCTTGCGCGCAAGATGAAAAGTGAATATGAAAAAGCCTCTGTGGAGCAGGAGAAGCAGGAAAAGAGGCGCTACGAGGAAACGGTCCGCTATCAACAAGAGCTGGAGCAGCAACTGGAAGAGCAGGAGAGAAAGAAACAAGAGGCTTATGAAGAATTTCTGAAAGAAAAGCTTATGATTGATGAAATTGTTAGGAAGATTTATGAAGAAGATCAAATGTAAGTATTAGCGCCCAAGTATTTAACCTTTTTTTTTTATTCTTGTGATGGTGTGCATCATCGTGTGTGCTTTGCAAGGTTTCATGTTTCATACTTTTTTGTAAATTAAAATACATTAACATAAGAAAATACAACATAAACGGTTAGATGTTTCCATTATCTATGTACTGTGTGGTACACTTGATACAAAGCCCTTTGTTTTGCTTTTTTGGGCCAACAGCTTTGATCATATTTACTCTGAAAACATTTTCATTCATGATGAATCATTGTTTTAGCTGCCGTAAAACTTCGTGTTGATCATCCATAATGTGAATTTTCTAAAATCTTTCGCAACATGAAAGCAGTAAACATATTTACTCTTAAATTGTGGAAATTCACTTTGCAGGGAGCAACAGCTGATGTTAGAGAAGCGGACAGCTACCCAGAGGTATATAGAGGAATTCAAGAGACAGCAAGAGGAGTGGAGACGCATTGAGCGGGAAAAGGTGGAAGAGGAGAACAGACGAATCCTGGAATTCGCCAGATACCAGCAGTCTAGGGAGGAAGACAGGATGGCAAAAATCAGACAGAGGGATGAGATAAAGCAGCACCTCCACAAGAAGGTACAAATTGATTTGGGTTCAATTTTGTTCTGTTATTAGCTTTTCATGAAATGAGGCGTCTTATCTTTCAGCACTAAGAGATTTGCAATTTGGTACTTTTTCTGTTTGATTTCAAGCAACATCTATAAAAAGCCTTTTACCATAATCTTTTATGAGCATTTCCTTTCGCTTGTTTTACAAAATCCTGTCCTTCATATTGCTTTCTAGCTCACAGAGGACATTGAAATGGAAAGACGGCAACGTGAAGAAATGGACCGCATACGCGAAGACCTTTGTCTAGAGGAACAAGCAGAGGCTGAGAGGCAGAAGGAAATTGTAAGTAATGTAATACCTCCTTCAGTAGAACCCTGCCATTGAAGCATACCGAAGATGATGTTACATTTCTAGCTTTTTTGTTTAGATAAGATTTGATGTAGGTGCTTTATGTGGAAACAGTTCAGAATCTAGAGAGTAGCTATATGACTTTTAAAGCTGGTTAGGTTTCAGCATGTAATTGATGAATAAGCCTGGTTAGTACATGGGTGAGGTGCATCAAAGGAGATGCATTTAGGAAGTAGATTCTTCAATAGCTTCTATCCACAAGCAGTGAGACTGGCGAACACATTTAGCCATCACCCTCGGACCACACCTACACCATCACCATCTACCTCTTTATGATTTCTTATCTATTGCACATCTCCAGTCATTGTTTACACGTCTGTATTGTTTACATTCAAACTGTCTACATGTTTACCTGCACATTGTCTATTGTTTGTTTGTACATTGTCTTGATGCACTGTTTGCACTTTGTCTTGTTTTTTACACTTGTTTTACAATCGAGAGACTTTCTGTAAGTAAGAATTCCATTGTACCAGTACCGGTTACATATGGCAATAAAGTTCAAGTTCAAGTATTCTTGGTTTCTCATTAGATGGGGCTCTGTGTTTTTTAGGAAGCAATGGAAAAGAGGATTAGACAACGTCTGGAAATGCAACAGACTTTCCAGGAGCAAATGGCCTTTAAGCAAATGCGGCAACAAACGGAGAGGGAGGAGGAAGAGGCCTTCAGAAAAATGATGCTAGCCAAGTTTGCAGAGGATGACCGCATTGAGCAAATGAATGCCCAGAAACGTCGGATGAAACAACTGGAGCATCGCAGAGCTGTAGAGAAACTCCTTGAGGAGAGACACCGGCAGTTCCAGGCTGACAAAGTATTGATAGTGCTGCTTTTTAAAATGAAAATAAGAGAAAAAGTTCTTATCATTAAGTTTTTCTATTGATCATTATTTCATTATAACCTAGTTCTTTCATTGTTCTAATACATTCATTTTTACATTAGAGAAAGAGTGAAGACTAAAGGTCTGATGGTAATGTCTTTGTAAATTTATTAAAAAGCACTGCAGTATTTATTTCTACTACTGATGGTTGCTTGTTTTATAAAGAAATCTATAAGCACAGACCTAAGTTACACATAACTATTTTAAAAATGTTTGTTTTGCTGGGGAGCACAATTTGTCCTTTTTAATTTTCTGTGTAGGAACATGAGCTTAAGGAACGAGAAATGGAACACGAAAGAGAGGCTGTACGACGTCAGATCATTGAGGAAGAAAGGCAGAAACTCCTCAAGCATCATGCTACTAAATTGCTTGGCTACCTTCCAAAGGTAAGGAAATTCCTTTTCTGAAAGGAACTTAATTGCCATGTATCACATCCAATTTAAATCTCCTTTTGGTCCATGAATGTCACCCAACATGTATGTCATATATGGAATTGTTCCTAGAAAAAGAATATTGTCAAGAAGATTTGAATTTACCTGGTCATTAATGTTCAGTCTTGTGTATTGAAGCTTGCTTTCTTGTAATATTTGAGGGCAAATTTTTTCAACATTTTGGAAAATGCATTAATATTAATAAATTCAGTTTGTGTAATTCCTATTCTACTGAAAGATGTTTAAGTGTCGATTCTGAATTACAATGGAATGCTCTCTAAGTGAACAGTAATAAATTATTATATATTAATTACAAGAGTCATGATCACCATATACAGAAGGTGTGATATATGGTGTAAAAACATCTTGAGTGCTGAAAAATGCAACGTTGTGTCTGTTGATGTTTATTATGTGGATTGTAAAACAAACCATTCACATAAAACACTTATATTCTAGCGTTGTACCTTGTCTGTTACATATATGACTTTGATTCTGTATTTATTAACCTCTTGATTTATTCATGACATGTTACCATCTTCCATAATTTCTTTTTGTTTGGTTTATTAGGGCATATTCAAAGGTGAAGAGGACCTCAAACTTTTTGATGAAGATTTTAAAAGGAATTTCCAGAAGCGAGATGTAGACATGTTCTCTGATGAGGGCTGGGGACAATGAGGACTTGCCAGTAGATGTCACTGTTGTGCAACTACATTCAGTTAAAAAAACGATTAAATTTTCTTCCTAATGGGTTGTATCTGTTTTTACCCTGGCTAGTAGATAGACATGCAGGAGCTGAAAATTAACTACATTAAATATATAACAACTTTGATAGAAAAAATGACCAAATATAACATTGCTATTTTCAAATATTTTAATATTAAACTGTTTCATGTTCTCCCATTTCTGTATATAAACTTCATTTTGCAATCAGGCAATCAATATTCGAAACGTTTTGAAGTAGCAGAAGAAGTTTGTTTTTAAATTGAGATGAATGTCATTTTTAATGCTTATGGTTCTTATTTTTCTATTGGGAACATATATGGCAATGTACAAGATCAAGGTGCCTATGTTAATCATGATCCATTCCTTTAATGCTGGCATCCCTAAGGAAATCAGTCAAGAAACACTTAGGTATCAAATATTTATATTACTGCAGGTCAATATTTCTTATACCTGTGCATTTATTCCTACAATAGAATGTGAATCATAACAGAACATTAAAAAATTCAGATAATACATTATTTTATTAAAAGCTTTTTTGTCAATGGAATTTTAAACTACACATTTTAATGCTGTACTGTATTTACAAAGACAGAGGATAGATCCAAGAAGTTAATAATAGGTGTGGATAATAGTAATAATAAATCAGCTATTACACATGAATAACATTAGCAAGTCAGTTTTCCTGTCAGAGTATGAGATGTTTTTAATTTACATTCACAGAAAAATTAACATGTAGACAATACATGTGTATATAATAAAATACGATCCAGTAATGCATAGCTTGAATTGTTGGTTTTTTTGTGTTGTCCACACTTTTTTTACATGATTAAGACTTCCCCCAATCAAGAGCTTTCATAAATTCCTCTTCAGTAAAAGACAAAAGTTTGGCTGCTTCAATGTGCATCTGTTTAAGGAAAAACAAAAGTTAAATCAAAAGTTAAATCAAAAGTCATTATACAAGAATATTGCACAGATTCTAAACTGATATTAATTAAAACACAGTATACAGACCAGCAAACAATCTAAATGTGAATATGAATTCACTTAATGTAAAAAATGTATCAATTACTGTACATTTCTGAATTTGCAGAATTAGAGATTTCTACTACTAGAATTTCTGCAACTGCAGTTTGTGTAACTGAATTTAATCTGCTTTACCTTTTGTCTCTTTAATATATCTATCAGTTTGAGTTGTTTCTTAAAACCTGTCATCAGTTCTGCCTTCTGCTTTTCTAGTTTCTTATTTTCAGCCTTTAAGAGTTCCATTTTTTTCTGTTCTTGATTGGCAGAGTCCTGAAAAAGACGATATGGAGAAATTTGTAGTAAAGATGAATAAAATCTAGTGTAAAATTACTAAGGTTAATTACCATCAACCTGTGATGTGGAAATGCTACACAATTTTATACAAATTACAGAATAGGGTCATTTTTCTAGTATCTTTTGACTTCCATCCATTCATTTTCTAACCACTTCATCCATTTCAGGGATGCAGTGGAGCTGAAGCATATCCCAGTAAGCAAAGGGGGCAAAGCAGGGTACACCCTAGACAGGACACCAGTCCATTGCAGGGCACACACAGACATGCATACTTACACCAGGGCCACTTGTCCCAGAAGCAAGTTAACCTACGGAAATGTTTTGGAACTGTTAGAAGAAACCCAAGTGAAAGCAGGGAGAACATACAGACTCCACATCGATAGCACCCTACGTCCGGAATTGAACCTTTGCCCCAAAGTTGTGGGGCAACGATGCTAACAACTGTGCAATTGTCAGCCTTTAGACTAATTTTGCTTTATTTTTTACACTTATTTAGATGGTGTTTACAAAATTGCTCATTATTACATGATTCTATATTGGCTATTCTTCTAAACTGTTATTCTTTATATACTTTTTTAAAAACATACCCAAGGCTAAGACACAACTAAGTTTATAGTGTATAGTGTAGCCCTAAAAACATAATAGTGGATAAACTGTAGAAATCCACCAACAAGGCATGTGTAAGAAACTGAGGGTAAATTCTCACACTGTAAAGTTACACCAAAATGTAGTAACACAAATTGAAATAACTTAGTATTTCAATTCTAAACGTAAAAACAAATGCCACATTAACATCTTGAATATTATAATTCAAATGAATGTTACGGTTTACCTTGCTGATTTGCTTTATTTTATTTAATTCCATCTTGCTTCTTTCTGCCTCCTCCAGTGCTCGGTTCAAACGAACTTCTGTGGCACTGTGATTGGTTAAAGTTTGTTTCTGTGTTCTCTTTAGGCCTTCTATTTCCTGTAGATATAGAAAATAGATCACACTTTATTTCACCACTGAGTTTAATAAATGCAATGACTAAAGGTAGGACTATTGACCATTCACTATATGTGGTTGATTAATAGCCTGAATCCCTAGACTGGTTTTCTTAGTAATGTTGCCATTTATATCTTCATCAACAGCCATAAAAAAGGATTGTCTAAAAGATTGAGACGTAACAGAGTTCCACATTTCTTAAAATACAAATACAGTTGGAATATGAAGAAATGTTTTTCCAAAAATACATGTAATAGAATTTAAAATGAAAATCTGTAATATTTTGTCTTGTATTGGGCTAGAAAATTTACAATTGAAACTGAAAGATTTCTTAGTTAAAGCTGTGCTCAAGGTTCAGAAAACGGTGAGTGTTCGCAAACACTGTTGTCACTGACGTTTTTCTCTGCAGCAGACTCCCATAACATTTGTGAATAACCTCATGCTGAGATGCAGAAAAAAACAATGATGTCATTATGCCACCTGCCAAGGATCTGCCAGGCAGACTCTATGACCTCCTGGAAGTGTTTCTTCATCCTTATTAACACTGATCACAGAGAAAATGTATAGGAAAAAACAGCTACAAAAATTATTTAGACTTGCAGCTTGTAGACATGCCAAACCACAACAGAAATTCCTGCAACACCAAACAAAATACTGACCGTAAACAATAATTAACACTGAATAAAAAATATTTTGCCTTTATAATACCTACTTTAGAGTGGCGTTTGAAACACAATCTTTGGGGAACAAAAAAGGTTTTGTAACTCTTGTCAATGCATTTCATCTGCTTTCATTTTTGCCATAAAAAACTCTTTTTATACTTTTTACTCATGGAAAAAAAACACACATCATAATCCATTTTATGTATTTATGTTAAGAATGACATGAGAATTGTTGGTACTTGATATCTAATATTCCTATCTGCTAAAAGGAAAACCAAAACCATGAATCTACCTCCTCATCTTCCTCAGTCCCTGTGGGTGATATTATTATACAACCCAACTTGAGATGACTTACCCCACCCCAAGTCAAGGCCAGGGCAACAGCATACTGGGATTTCTCTGAATTCCAAAGATATCTGTCACAGGCATAAGTGCTGTGCTATCACCAACTGCAGCAGGGGTTCACTTTACAGAGCCAAGCTAATCATGTTAATGAGGCCATGCCAGGCATTCTTCTGAGGCGGGTTTTATTTCACCCTTCATTAATAATCTTGCCTAGGCTGGAGAATGAAGCCTTTTCTCCCTCCTTCTACAGAGCCTATGAGAACATACCTGCTTAGTTTATTATAATTAAACAGGAGTATGATAGCATTTTTATTGGATTAAAATACCATTTCCTTGATGGAAAGTCATTTTTAGCTTTTATATTCTTTTTCCTCTTCATATACCCAATTATCTTAAAGTACACAAAAATACCTTTGATATACTTAAGATCACATGAATTCGCCTCCATTTATGAGTTTAATTAAAGTAGAAGCATTCCTAAAAAATAAAAGACAAGTATAGCCCATACTTTCTGTTAGTGGAACAATTTGTTCTCTGAGTAATGAATATGTAGCATGTTGTTGGTGGGTGGAAATTTGATAGATCCCCATAAGGTTTGTATTTAGGGTTGTGTTTTCTTAGGCGTACTGTACCTTCTGTAAAGCAGTGACCTGTTGCTGCAGGCCTTCACACCTTCTGTTGGACTCCTCCGCCAGACGTCTTTGTTTTTCAATCTGGGTTTGCTGGATATTTGTTGTTCTCTGTAATCTTGAACGATCTTCCTCTAGTTCCTTCACTTTGGTGCTTAAATTGATGTTTTCATCATCCTAGAGAAAATATAATAAACAATGCATCACATTGAAATAAATGCATCAAGTTGAAATAAAATACAATGCATCACATTTGCTTAATGCCAGATGTCTCTTGTTTTCTTGCTAGACATAGGTTATACAGTTCATGGTTATCTCTATGTAAATCTCTATGAAATATCAAAATGGTAGAAATTCACAAGTCACGGTTCTTATTTTCTGTTCTATTAATTGTACATTTGAGGTTGGATCTTGCTTGAATTTGAAAGTGCAACCTCTGAAGTATGACTAGGTAACTGGCTTTACTTCCTTCACTGACACGTAAAAGGTTTTTCTCAGGTTTAGTGAGGTTTAGGCTCCATTAAATCATCATGACCAGTTGCAAACTATACTAGCAAACCTGGTAATACATCCCATGATCAGAGTTATGAATTTATCCACCTTTTTACCTCCACCTGATCATCAGGTGGTCATCTGATAGGGATGAAAATTCACGTGTATGATCTTGTTTACCTTAATTACACATTTAATAAAATAAGTACTTGACTGTGATGCCTTCCACTTGGAATTTACCCTTACCTTTTTGTTACATTCATGGGCAAGCCTGTTGATCTCTTCTTGCATTACCCGTAGCTTTGCTTTAAGAAAGCGAATCTGAGCCTCTGACAACACAATAAAAGTACACAACAGTTATTTCCTCTTTTTTTAAATCAATAGCAGGGAGGGAGGGAGCCTACTGTTTTAAACAAAACAAAAAGGTGACTTGCTTATACAGTTGTTACTCTTGCACTTAGACACAGAGAAGAAATCTGACACAGAACTGAAGACCAGAAAAAACAATTGTAATCATCCGAGACAAACTTGCTAAGAAAAATAATCTGAAGTGATACAGAGGGAGTAACTAATGAGGAACTGAGAAAATAAGATAACAACCAGCTACCGTTAAGCACATTATATGTCAGAGATGCCTTGAGTGGTTTAGACACGTAGCGAGGATGGGAGGGAGAAAAGAGCTGAAAACCACAATGTGATGAAGGCCAAAAGTGGGGTGTTGGAAAAAGAGGAAGACCAAGACCAACTTGGAGAAGAATAATTAAAGTCTATCTTGAACCAGCTGGACTGGCCATGTCAAAAAGGCACTAAAACACACAATGATGCTCGCTCTTGAGTGGGTGTTGTGGGAGAATTGAAAAACTGAAACAAGACAGCAGAACAAGTACCCAAATAAAGATGTCAAATAAGTGGAAATGTGCAACACATTAAAAAGACCTTGTTATACAAATGGATTAACACCTTTCAGACAACAGAAAATGTATGATTGGTATTTGCAGTTCTTCTGTGATTTATAAAATGAATATTCTCTTATTTGAAAATATAAATTATAACATTCCATACTGATGAAAATGGTTGAATGTTTGTGTGAATACCCTAAATGTTTGCATTCTTTCTTTTCACAGTAGTGTCTCTCAATGCTTAGTTGAATTAAACTATTATGGAACCACAAAGTAAGAAAACGTAAAGGTAAATAACTGGCATATTATTTAGCAATTCTTTTCGATCTAGTTAACCATTATAGAATCATGAATACTTTCAAGGATTATTTAATAAAAGAAACTAAGAAATTTGAGGAAACCATACTAGCCATACTAGAAAGCCATACCTGCAGTCATTTCACTCCCAACACTTGGCATGATATCATCCTCTTCATCCTCAGGTATGCCATCTTCTTCCAGTTTACCTTCAATTTTGCTTATTGTCTTAGCCAGGGTGAAATCTTCTAGGACTGCTACTTCATCACCTGGGCATGTTCTGGCTGTTCTTAATTATATTAATGTGGCTTTTGTTAATTTGCATTGTCAAGATTTAAAACGTTCAAAAAGAAATTCAAAAATGCTTTGCTTACAATACGTCGAGGATTTTTAAATGCAAGTAGGGGTTGCTAGATTCCTAACAATAAAATTAACTTGAAAAAAATGTAAACTGTATATCTTAAAATCTGAAAAATAGCAAACTTCAAAAACGTACTTTGACGCTTTCTTGATTCTGTTGCCTGAAAGTGGTCTGCTTTCAGTGGTAACCTTTGAAGTACCCCTGTCCTTGGTCAGTGCCTGTTAAATGGAAGATGTGTGGTAACACTGGTAATAGTGTGAAGAACAGATGTTATTTTACCATTTGAGCTTATTATAAATATTTATATGTAAGTGTAGAAACACCCACCAAAATATAAAAGCACTGACTACAAAGACATTTGCTGGGTTAACATAATTTCAGCACTTGATTCTGTGCTATTGCTAACTGAAACAGTTCCTTTGGTTAAATTTAAGCCTGGATTTAAGCAATTTAAAGAGACAAAGCAGTACTTAATGTTTTGTCTGTCTGGCATAGTAGTATGGTAATAAAGGTCTCCATTCATGGCCTTGGTTTCCAGTTGCAGGCACATATATCAACAAGCCATGAACTGACAACTTAACAAATCAACCCACACATCTGTGGATAGGAAAGCTCTCAAGCCACCTAACTTGGTTTCCCTCCACAGATGATTTCATTATGATCACTGGGGTCCAGTAAAGTCAGAGTGGAAAAAATAAAGTCTCCCATTAAAAGGAAATTTCAAGGAAAAAATAGTACTGTATCCAAAAATGCCTTGACTCCAAAGCTTGAAACATTTTCATAACTATGTACCAAAATTACAATATTGGCCTTGTTTTAATTGCACAATGAATCAGTTTTATAATTGCATATACCTTTGCCGAAGGCTGCTTTGTGGTAGGTGTTAGCAGATTGAGATTCCTACAAAAAAAGAATTGAAAAATTAGAATGTTAGATTGGTAACTTTCACAAAGAATTTGTGGATGAATATCATCCTACTCACAAATATAAAGCTTTCCTTTTTAAAATAAAGGTCTTTGAAACTGTGAGAGTATGGGTTTCTGAAATCTTTATAAGACCACAAAAGCCAAAACAGGCTTCCTGTTCTAGCCCATTGCTTTCGACAAGCAGATGAAGCAGCACATTTGCAATGTGTAAATAATCCCTCAGTAATGGTAAAGTTTAGTAGTCATGTTTAATTAAACAGTTGGGATTTGGTAAATGTAAGAAAGAAACACTAACATATCAAAGTAAAAAGAAAAACAAATGTCAGAATCTAAGACAAGTTTGTGTGTGTAACAACTTAATGCCTACTTTTTTCTTATCTGATGGCCTTGAGCCTCTAAAATCTAACTGTGGTCTCATAGGCAGTCAATGGGCAACATCTGTTCCCTGTGCCAAAAGCTTACTACACCCATGAAAAAATGGAAAGAAAAGGGAAACTTGTATTTTGCATCTGGAATTCTTCCATAATATTTTAATCAAGAAGTATAGGGAAAAGAAAATGATATAGGCCAGGTTTTGTCCAAATTTAAAGTAAGGACTATAGTCTTCCAGTCATAAATTGTACATGTATTGATTAAATTAAACTCTCTCAGTAACTTATAACTATGTATTAATACGTCACCTGAAGGTCTCCTCCTCGTCTTCAGTGTCAATATCTAAGTTTGAGGAAATTGGCCTCGACAACATTACGTTTTGCTCCCTCTGGAGAAATAAAAACCCAAGCAGTTAAAAAGCATTCTGGATTCTTCTAACAGGATTAATCTGAATGCACTTCTAATTAAAATGCACCTGCAGACAGTATGTGACATTTAGACCAAAAATTAGAGAAGTTCAAACTTACTAAAAATATATACTATGTCCTACAGTTAATTTTAAATTTTGGGAATCATATTAGATGCATTGCACTTAAATACATTTTGTGAACCAGCAGATAAGCAAAACAAATTATTAGGATTTTTTCGTATTATTTTACCATTTCTGTTACGTTAGTTACCTCATGTTTGGAGAATGACGTCTTCAAAAACAGGGTAGAGACAGAAGATTTGGCAATTTCACCTTTCACTCTTAGACATATTATAAAACTTGTTTTTTGTTCTAACATAATTCCCTTTTTTTGTTTTTTCAATAACGTTTACACTAAGGTCAGCAGATGAAATGATACATATCTTTTATCTTACCATAACCTCTTCTGCTTGTCGAACAAGTTCGGCGGTTTTTGCTTCCAGCTCTGCATTTAGACGCCTGGAAAAAGAAGAGCTTTGACCATCTGATAAAACATAAGACTGTATTTGGTAAAAGACTATTGAAGTGAATTTTAAAGCTCGGATCTCCATTTACACATACGCAGAAACTCTGAGTGTTTTTCTGTGGGCGTCTTATGAAATGAAACAAAGGAATTCAAAGAAAAACTGAACAGAAAAGAAATCACAAAAGAAACCGAGTTAGGTTGTCATGCACTACTAATTTTAATTCATTTCAACAACAACATGGGTTCTTTACTTATATTCCTCTTCCTTGGCCAGCAAATCTTCTTGTGGTTTCCTAAGCTGTGCTGACGAGGGCCGATTAACAGGTTTGGAACAGTGGGACATGTCCAATCTGGCTGACAGAGGCTTCTTCACCTAAAAGCACAAAAAGATCATACAAAAGGAAAAACAAATATCCCCTTTAGCTTCTATTATCTTCATAACAAGAGTTGGTCGATGCTATTTTACATACATACCAATAGGAAGGAAAAAAGAAGATTTATCATAGTAGACAATAATTATCTTTATTCTTACCAGGCATACCATTTATTCTGAGCAACAATTAATGTTTAACAACATGCATATAATTATATTAATTACGAACCCATTTGATGGTATTAGGGTATATTCTTTTTGGTGAAGACTGTTAAGGCTTTCAATAGACTATTAGGGTGTTTTGATAGCAAAAAAACAAAGGTACTTGCTTTGCAATCAATTTAAATTTTAAATGACGAAATTACCTCTATGCCCATCTCAGGTTTTTCATCACTTACGTTTTAAATTATTATTTTCCAGAAAATGTAGAGTTGTATGTATAAATCAGGGTAAATAACATGTATCACTAAATGCAGCTGACGAAAATCAGAATCCGTTTCTTTTTATACCATGATTACGTTATTGTTTCAGTAAAGGCATATCATAACCAAACAGGAAGAGTAACTAATTATTGAGAGGGACAGTTGATAACTTCCAAAAGGAAAGAAAGAAAACTTTCCAATAAACTAACTTAATCAGTGGCAAACGTGCATTAAGTTTGTAAATTCCACTGGGATACGGTGATCACTAGCTCCCGATGACTCAATTGACCGGTTCACCGAATAAGGAACTGCTTTCCCATGTCGTTAACTGACGATTTCCACTCAGTCTGATCATTTCAGAATTGCAAACGATTTAAAGAGGAATAACAAGTGCTCCTCTGTTTCAGCTTTAAAATAAAATTAACTCCAAACAGTTAAACGGTCAACAGTCAACCAACTACAGCATATTAGTATTAATACCACCTTATCTTATGCTACAATTTGCAGTATCTTAACATCTGTAATAGCTGATTCACTGGACGTCGTTTGTACTGTAAGTTTGGATACATCGAGTCTTTAGCTCTTATTATCAAAATATAAGTACAATTTACTTAAAAGCTCAGAAAAGACTTACCCTTTGTGAGGAAGACCTGCTTTTTATTTCCGCCATTTTTCAGTTCCTTTAAGCGTCAATGTTGCTTAGCGACAACGGACCGTTTCCCTTCCTGGCCTGTAGACGTCACCACTGTCACAGTTTGTTTTTTTACGATCTTTTAACTCTCGCGACGTTGAGCTGTGAAGAATGGGGGGAGGGGGGAGTTGAAATAAAGTAATCATTTATAGCGTTCATGAAATACAGTGAGTATGTCAGCAGACGTGTCCTTTTCCTATTTTGGTACCGTGATTTCCAACTGTTCCCATACAAAGAGCATTGAAGTTAGTACAAGTATACATAGTTTGAATGTTGCACATGGGCTCTAGTTTAAAGTAGTGTGTTACTGTACTGTCGTTCTCTATTTTCGTTTGGGGTTTTTAATTTCTTATGTAGTGTCACTATTTTCAGATTTTTTTTCTGAGTATGTGCAACATTTTCACTGCCTTAACAGACCTTACTTCTACTGCAGAGATACTCCAGTGCAATACTGTACACTGAGCATCTCTCTTTGTAAGGACAGCTACCTACCCTTACTGGCTATCTACCAGGGTTGCCAGTGTCAGTGGGGCTGGGGCTGGGGCTGGGGCCACGTATCCATTATCAAAAGACTTCAGCTCGGTTCATTTGTCATGTGCACAAGTGCAATGAAATGCTTGTTTTAATGTATGCCCAATAACAAAGACAATAAGGAAACACCAAATTTAATCACAGAACAGCAGCGGCAACAACAAAGCTGCATAACATACAACTTAAATAAAAGCACAAGCAGTGAGCAAAAAAGTGTGAGTCATTGGTGGAGGTAGAATTCTGACGCTGCAACTTTTTAAGGCTACAGAAAACTAGTTACAGTATCACAAGATCCAACATAGCCAACACAGACACAATAATTGACACCAGTTTTCCTTACATGCACGTTTTCATGATATTCAAAGAGCTGGACAAGATGATGCCTCTTCAAGAAAAGTAAGGGGGATCTTCACTATATCTGAACATGCTTCTGTCTGCTTCGCCGATTCCTACGGTATCACAACAGATTTTCTGGAATGGGATTGGACATAATCTCGAACTACAGCAGCTAGTGTTGCATTGTGTAACTGCAGCATCTTTAATCTGGTGTTGAACTGTTTGCCATGAGAAGGTTGGCCAAGGTCAACGCCCGCCTGTGAAAGAAGAAGTGTATTTTTGAGTCTAAAATAACGGATTAAAGATGAGCAATCCTTAACAGTTTAAAAAGGGCAGAATTAACCTACAAATGCGGGTTAGCGTTTTACCTAAGTAAAATTACATTAACTTTCTACCCCCCCAAACAAATCTGTTGCGAATGAAAACCTTGCATGGTAAAATAAGAGGCCTTGAGCACACAGCGATGGTCCAGGTTTCCCACAGCAGTTTGCTGCCTTGTGTAAAATGATCAGTCTCCTGCATGGGCGTCTGCGTCAGGCCCTGCACGGTGTACGTCTCCTGAGGCTCCTCTCAATGCATAGTTCGTGTCTGCCTGAGTGAATGCTTGGCATTATTTTTGTGTTGCATGTATGCTATCTCTAATACCAGGAGAAAGCTTAATATAGCAGAGCTCTCTCAATATAGTACCTTTCCCTGGTTTCCATTTTTCTGATCTCCTGACAACAGGGGGGAAACAGAGTTTCTGCAGACCGGGGATTGATGGGGAGGAAATGTGCTTCTGTTATTAGAATATTGCTATAATTAGCACTATTTTTAAAGTTTACCGTTGTTGACGGGGGTACGCCTTTGTCTTTCTGGGAAGAATTATTGCTGGTGGGTGGCATGTTGGTGCAGTGGTGAACACTGCTCCCTCCTAGTGCTGGGGCCCTGGATTCAATTCCGGAGCTGGGGAGCTATCTGCATGGAGTTTGCATGCTCTCCCCATGTTTCTGTGGGTTTCTTCTGGATGGTCCAGCTTCCTCCCATAGTCCAAAGTCATACGGGTTATTGGCTTCTGGGAAAACTGGCCCTGGTGTGAGTGTGTGTGTCTGTGTGTGCCCTGTAATGGACTGGCATCTTGTCCAGGGAATATTCTCACTTCCTACACACGGTTTGTATTATACCTCTCCCATAAAAGCACAGAATGTTTTCGGATATGGTTGCTCACAGCACCCTGGGCAGCCTTCAGTGTGAAGTTTGTTGCTCACACTGGTTTTCTTTGAGGGCTTCGAATTTCTATCCACCTACCAAAGCAGGAGAGGCTGGGTGAACTGGGGTCTCTAGATTGCCCCCGTGAGCTCGCGTGTGCCCTGTCGTGTCGAACAGGGTGGAAAGCCCTCCATGCACGCCTGGTTTAGGCTAAGGCTGGCTCAGGATGAAGCAGTTGTGGACAACAGACATCCATTTTTAGATTTAATCAGCATTCATTTATTTTCATTACAGTCTATATATATGGATAGATATGTTATAAATATGTATTGACCGTGTGACTATGCCAATTTGGGTGGTATTTTGATATTCTACAAAAATATAAAAATGCTTTGTCTTATCTTAATACTAGAATAACCTTTCATCGACGGCTATTCTAACAGGTGACAAAATGAGAATAGCACTCTGCGACATGACATTATACTCATTCCTACACACCATTTTACTAACTTGCTTAATATACATGTTCGGATTTAAGAAGGAGGTTGGAATCATATCTGTGCCCCGGCATTCTATTCTGAAATTATTACCATTTTCTTAATTAATGTACTTATTGTCTTAGTCGCAATTTACCTGTCTTCTGCATCTATGTGATGTTAGCATTGTTCGAAAGGCGGCTGGGGAAGTAGCGTTTCGGTTTCTGAAGCCAGTAAACACGAAGATGATGTTTTGAAAGAGGTGGACCGCCGCGGCTCCCAGCACAGCTCTCCCCAGCTCTCGCCTTTGTAATGTTGCCATCGCCAGTTGTGCAGTGCGCCTGCGTCACCACTGCCTGGCAGCAGTCTCGTATCAACAGCGGCAGCCGTGCGATTAGCTCTGGGCTGCAGCGGAATCTGGAGAAGAGCGTGTTTTTGTACTCGTCTTTTTTGTACATATATAAGCGTTTAATATCATACGTATAGCCATGGTTTACAAACGATTCAGGAGCTGGATTCGAGGCTAATTCGCACGATAAGAAACGGGTGGGTCCGTGATGTGCCATACTCGGGGAAGAGCCGCTTACTCGAGGTCCAGGTCGAGGCCTACTTGCTAGAGATTCCCCTCCTCCTCCTCCTTTCCTCCCGAAGCTGATCATGATGGCTGAGGATCAACGACAACCTGGTCAACATCAGAAGCCCAACTCGGGGACCGGATCTTTGCCCTCCCTGGTTCCGGGGCTTCAAGGGGTCGAGGCCAGCGCTTTGCAGCACAAAATTAAAAACTCTATCTGGTAAGGACAGCGCGAACATGTACATGTTTATGTGTTTGTTTTTTTCTTGTCTTTGATCGACGAAAACACGGAATTTTGCCTTGCGCCTGGCCGGTGGCCACTGATTCCCCGTTGCCCTTTTTAAATTTGTATCACCCCACGGTCTTATATTTAAAGGCGTGTGTGATTTGATCGCGAATATTGGCCGGGTGATTGATATCGCCTGTCATTTGAACATGTCAGAAATTGCGGTCTCGAAGCGTGCCAGTGCAGACAGGTGGGTAGGTGCCTCCCCGTGCGAATTCATGCTCCCACCTTCATTTATGCCTAACGCTGAATTTCAGAGCCCAGGGTGGGAGATGGTGCGGAAAACACACACACACACACATTTGCACATTCGTGAAGACGGGAAGCCACACGCCGATAACCCGGCTGCAAGCGGTGAAATAAAGAGACACCCCCCGCCCCGCGAAACGGTGCTTCAAACCCCCGCTGCTTCCTCGCAGTAGAACTGAGGCTTGATTCGGGCGGTCTGATCGATAGGTAAACCCGATGTCAAAAAGGGGCCATTTCTGTGCGCAAATCACAGCTGTGGAAAGCTGAGCCGCGAGCTGTAGATCGCGCGGAGTAGCACGACCATGCCATCACAACAGAGGGTTTCTAATAATTCTGTATGGCACTGCAGCAGAAAACCCTCCTTCTGAACGGGAAGGATTAGGAATAGGAATTCATTGCGCAACGACGATACGCTACGGTGTCAGATGGTATCGTATTTTTTTAGTAAACAATTTCGCTCATGAGTGCACGCCTTTACTAGAATCAGTGGGACGGGGTGAAACGATGTCACAGTGTTTAGAAACCTCTTTCCACCATGGCATTAGCACAGTCTTGTGCTCCAGTTACACTTCAGTCGTTTTTTAGCATCGTGTTGAACACGTCCTTCCTGATTGATAGTTTTTTTTTTTAGAAGGAATAAGTGAATTATGCACCTTGTACTGAAACCGTCGTGACCTCTAATAATTTCTCTCCATCGATTTGGAGTAACGACTGGTACATAAAACGCTGCTCGTAAACAGAGCTGTTGTTTTGTACACAGCGAGGCGGCGAGTAACAACAGGAGTGTGGAGAGGATTCCCTGGGGTTTTCGTTACTCTGTTTTCCGCCTCTGCGATCACCAGGGAGAAATTTACCGGCCGCTGTTTTCCCACCAGCGGCCGTACAGAGGTCCACTTGCGTGCCTTGCTCGTACAAGTCAAGTGTCCTTGGGTCTGAACTGGCTTGTTTTCATCTTTGCTGCCCTTTTCGAGCTCTGTTAATACACCAGAGTCGCCTTGGATACATGGGTCGGCCAAAATAGCGAGCACTAGTGTGATACTGTTTGTACAGGAATACTCCGTGGAACGAAAGCTGCATTGAATTGGAAAAAGACGCCCATTAAGCAAGCGGAGTTGCTAAATATATGCAGTATGTGTTGTCTTGTGTATCTCATTGCTGACGATATGTGGGCGATGTGAGCATATGATCCTGTGGGTGCCCTCTGGTGTTGATATCTCCCATCAAGTTTTCTGAGTGTCTGGCTGTACCCAGCAAGACAGGGTTAAAGTCCGCTGGTATTCCACTGGCCTGCATACATATACCAAACCAGAGAGGGTCATGACTGTGCCAGGAGACAGATGACTTCAATGTTTTGGCGCCCCAGCATGTGGGAACTGCAGTTCTCTCTGGGCCTTAAGCCAGGGCTTGTATCTTAGTGTGACCAGGACTGGAGCTATCAGCCCGTCAATATTGTCACTCACCCCACACACTGGTGTCTGCTAAATACTTCTTATGGTGGGGGTGTCATTCCTTGTTTCCGCACAGTGGTCCCATTGCTGTATTTCAGTTGGGTTCTAACTGCTGTTGGCTTGCGTTACTATAGGGCCAGCTTTTGTGATTTGCGTGCTCCTTGTTTCCTGAAGGGTTTTCCTGTAGTAAGTAAGCTCTGAAATGTTCTTCTTGTTTGCTGGCACAGGATTCTCCCCAGCCTATGCAAATCCCGTTTGAATTTTGTTCTGTTGTGTTTGTCCCGGCTTCCTGCTCCTATTGCGCTGTGATCCGTGTGATTTCCGAATAATGTAAGAGCAGGTTTGTGTCAGTCTGGAATTTACATCCACTCATCGAGAAATCAAAGTTGAATGCAAAAGCACAAACGGGCATTTGCTGTTTTATTTAAATGTCAAAAAGGCATGAGCCTGAGCTCATTTGATTTTGTTCTTGATTATTATGCCTTTATTCCTGTGGAAGGTTCTCCCTGCCCAGAAGCACTCGTTTTTTTTTCTTGCAAATGACTTGAAGTATTCAGCTTGGAATTGCTGAAACAGAAATGTTTTTATTTTGCAGATACCGTACCAGAGAGTATCTCAGAGAGTCTCTAAATGGTACAAAATGCTTCTCCTTTTGCACCCAATGGCTGCCCATGGTGCTCTCTATTTGAATCGTTTTCTTGGGAGAGCCCTGAACTATGTTATTGTTAACGCAGTAGTGGAATATTTAAATGGTGGAACAAAGAAATCTTTTGACATCTGTCTATATCAGTGTACATAAATTTCCATCCATCTTTAAGCTCAGCTGCTAGTCTGAACAAATACCACATTCTTTCTCTGGGATCACAGTTCCCTTATCCTGTGACCACTGCTGCCTTTGTCCTCCATTAGATTCTATTACACTCAAGTGTATAGATCGGACAGTTTTTATTAGCTACTGCTTAACTCATGAGGGCATTTCACATCTGCACTCTCTTCTGCCTTTGCACTACTGCGTGGTCAGTATCACTAAAGAAGCTCTGATTTGATTATGTAATTTAACAGATTGTGGCCAGTTTTTTTCACTTATGATCTTATAAGGAGCCTATTAATTGCATTTTAGACTGCATTACTTATGTTAATTATGTATTTTTATTATGGAGATTGTAAGGGGTTGCCTTATAGAAGACATAAGAACTCTCAGGTTCAATGTGAAGACATAAGAACTGTCAATGTTCAATGTGAAGCATTTCATCCACCAAAACGTTAGCACAGGTCTAGATTTTCATGACATATCTGCAATAAGAGGTCATGAAAAGCCAACAAATGCATCTTGAGTGCAACTTGCATGTTTTCATCTTTTTGTGCTGCTGGGTTGTATACGGGGCTATAAAGAAATGCCACTGTCGCAGACTGCTCATTCCACATAAAGGAATTATAAAAATATATGTTCATACACCTTTTATTCATTAGGAGGAAAAAGTGATCGATGTCACCAGACTAGATTAAAAAAAGTATTCAGAGTGCCAGATCATGTTTATCTGCTAGTTTTATTTTTTTCAGTGTTTCGATATCAGTAAAATGTGGGAGTGCATGGATTTGTGGCTTATTTGTGAACTGTTTAGTGAACAGTGTTTTTCAAATATTGATGTGCTATGATCATTTAGTACATTGTCCCGCTTCTCAGCTCTGCTTCGAAGGTCTGTATTAACAATTGACCACCTGTTCTTAGGTCTCCAGTTTTATATTTCCCTACTTTTAACATTGTTTATTGTGCTGTAAATATATACGTCAAACATAAAGTAGCCAGTTGTAAGGGTCTCCAAAGAAGAGGTTCTACAGTATTAGGCAGGATCAGAAACATGTCTCTACATGTCCACGATCTTCACACTGGTATAAATAGTGCATGATGTGTGTATTTCCATAGACAATGCATGATATTAAAAGACCTGACTTAATTACAGGAATGTCATGTTTCTCGATTAAATGGGCTATTATGCAGTTATGACATATGACCTTAGGTGATTTTTTAAATGTCTTTTAATATTATACTTTTACGATATAATTTATAGATTTATTTTTATAATATCTACATATTTTGTATGTTATATATATATATGTCGTATGTTTGTGACGATTTCTAGTTTCCTGACAAAGTTTGCTGCATCTGCGGTTTACACTGTTTCAAGTCCTGGTGGCTGTGTTGGTGTAATTGAAGAGGAAACAGGGCTCTTGAGATATACTGTACCTTAGGAGAAGAGTGTGGCTGAATTAGTGACAATTTTACAATCCAAGCTAAAGGGAAGTGTCTTTTCACTTTTAGGCATAACTAGATTTATGCATATTAATCAGTATTAAGGGAAAAAAAACATCTCTTTCAAGATGGACATTTAGTATCATAACTTCTATTTACATTTAAACTACATAATAGAATGCAGGAACCTAGCTTTGCAGTTATTCCAATAATACTAGGGTACCCAGTGGAACCGAAATCCCAGGAGGGTGTAAAGGTGATTGGCATAAGAGGTTCAAATAATTTCACATTTTATTTAACATATTAAATATGTTCACTTGCGTTTATGTTGACTTACTTAAACATTTGATAACATATTTTGTGGCCAAGATGTAGTTTGACCTGGCTTTGTGTAGACTGGGCGCACCCTGTAAAATAGAGTTGTCCATTCTTGCACGGTAATTCCTTTATCTCGTCTTACAACGTACAGTGCTGAGGTTTAAGTTAACCCCTCCCATTGGCTGCACGGGCACTGTATTTCTCGGGGAAACATTAAACATTTGCTGAAGGGCTAAGACGCCTAGCAACAATTAATCCAATCATGAGGTGATTATGGAAATTAGTTCTCTTTTCTAAATCTGGTAATATGATGGTACACAGTAAACAAGCTGCATTTCAAGGTAGATGCTAAAGGCTGTCTGTTTTGGCAGGTTTGGGACTGGTAAGTTGCTTAACGTATGCGAATTAAAGCTTTATGAATCAGAATCCTTATCTGATGTTAAGCAGTTACTGCAACCAGCATGGGCAGTGGAAATCCGATCTTTTGGAAAAGGGTGAAAATGAGGAGGATTGCTTTAAAAATCCTTTGATCTTATTAATGTTAAGTTTGACTGTCCAGAAGAAGGCTACAACCTAAGGAGCCGCAAAGTTGAAAGCTAACTGCACGCAGTTGTATTTACATTCTTCTTATCTTTTTACACGAAACCCGGAGACTGTATTTTATGATA